AGTCAGTTACTTGTAGACAGCATATAGTTACGTCATTGTTTAACCCACTGTGATGATCTCTGTGTTTTTATTGGTGTATCTTGGCTGCTTATACTTAATGTAACTATCCATATGCTAGAATGGGGGTGGCAATCCAGCCTCCCCACCTGAACTTTACTAAAACTGCTGCAGGGAGTGGGGGAGGTGACTAACACCCAGGAGGATGAAAGGACTAACTGCCTACTCAGCCTTCTCTGACAATACCCTGGTGAGTGATGGAGGAGTTCAGCAAGATGAGAGTGGAAGTCTATACTTTGCACTTGTCCTTTGTGGCATTTGGCTGAAAAAGAGTGGTTATTTCCTAAGTATCTATCTTGTTGGCAGTCCCTTGTCTGGTCTTTTGGCTAGAGAATAGGTTTTTGTTGGAGCTTTTTAAAACTTCTGTGCCTGTCAACACTTCTGGGTGACCAGCTGCTTCAGCTCCAAGACTGGAATATATGTGGCAAAAAGAAAATCCAAGTAACTTACACTCATGTCATTCTTTGGGTCCAAATGTCCTTAGGCAATTGGACTGATTTTCTCCCTCTTCCAGAATCTTGTGTTTGTATAATCTCCAGACTTTTACTTATATATAGTGGGAGGAATAGGGAAAAGTGGATCTACTCCATCTTTCCCAAAACAGAAATCACTGAACATTTTTCAAATTGATTCTGACCAATCTCTCTCTTTTACTGGTGTGCTTAGACTATTTACACTTAATGTGATCATTGATGTATCAGGACTTAATTCTAAAACTACATTGTTTGTTTTCAGATTGTCCCATTTGTTTTCCATTCCACTGTTTTCCCTTTTCCTTTTTATACTATTTTAACAATTTTTAGTATTCCATTTTAATTTATCTATTTACTGTTTCATTATATCTGTAGTGTATACTTTTTTAGTGGTTACTCTAGGGATTACGTACCTCACTTTTCACGGTCTACTTAGAATCAACACAGGAACACTTCAGTGGAAAGTAAGATGCCTACCCTCACACAGGTCTCTTGACCCTCCCCCTTTATTTTGTACTTACTTTACATACTACATTTGCATACTTTGAAAACCCAGAACAATGTTTTTTCAGCCATCAAACATATTTCGAAGACAAAAGAGAAGAGGAAGAGTCTATTATAGGCATCAGCAATTTTTTTCAGTAGACAGATAATAAACATTTTTTCCTTTTCAAGCCATACAGTGTGGGAGTAAGGATTGGGAAGTGCCATGTGGAATCTTCTGGAATGTGGGCAGTGTTCTATTTCTTGGCCTGGTTGGGGGTTACACAGGAGTTCCCTTTGTGGTGACCCAACAACTGTTTGTTTCATTTTATGTACCTAACTTTCGTCAGTGACTCGCTGACTACCTCCGCCTTATGCATCTAAATTTTGCATGTACCATGCCTACCAGTGAAAGTAATTTTAAATAGATCAAAGAGCTTGAAAAAAATAGATCAGAGACCTTGGGACTAGATTATCAGAAAAAAGGGGGGGATAAAGCAAGTGCATAGGATTTATTGTTCCTGTTGGCCCTTCCTTCTTTGAACAAAATTGATACATGAGGAAATGTTTACAGTTTGCCCCCAATGCTCGGATACTGAGAATATCTGTTTCATGCAAGGCACTGAGATGGGAACTGCTTGTGGAGCTAGAAGTTTAAAAATGGGAATTGTGAAAAAAATGAGATTAGAGTTAGATGAATTATGTTAGATGAATATTCTAATTAAATAACAGGAAAAAAGGAATAAAAGAAGAAAGGGAAAGACATTATTCAGTGAGAAAGTCAAACATACAAATTCTAGATATTTTTCCTAAGGAGGGTATGAAGAAAAGAAGGTTGAAGAGAAAGCATTTAAAAAGGAGACAGGAAACAGAAAGGAAGTAGAGAAGAAAAGTCTAGAGAAATAGAAAGATGAGGAGGGAAAATGGGGAGAAAAGGAAAGGAGGGAAGTAAGAAGGATGAACTAAAAAAAAGAAGACATAAGAAAGAAATGTGCTTAAATCACCCATATTGGGTACCTGGTATAAGCCAGGCATTTGACCCACATAATATCATTTAAACCTCACAAAAACCCTCTAATGTAGATATTATCTTTCCCATTTTATAAATAAGGAAGCAAAAGCCCTGAGAATTTTACTCAAAGAAACACACCTAGAAACTCCGACCCTAGCTGCATGCAATGCCAAATTCTATCTCTAGGAAACCATTTAATTCCAACAGGGAGGACTCCCTTATGGGAAGTAAGTGCTTATGTTACACTTGAGTTCTAGGAAGAATTACCCTAGAAGGTTTCTTTGTCCTAATAAGAAGCAGAAAATGTTTGACCTTCTGAAACCCTACATCTATTATCCTGTAATTCTATGGCATCAGGTCAGTTATATGGAATACTTATTGCTGTCACTGACATCATCTACTTCTGCCAACCTATTACTAAGGGGCATTTTCAGAGAGTCTAGTACTTTCTGGAGAGAAACCAGTAGAATACTAGTGGCAATGCCTTACTTTATGAGAAAATGGGCACATAACATATTCCATGGCTCAGCTGATGGTATTTGTCAAGTAGGAAAGAATGCCAAAGAGATAAGGGGTGGTACAGAAACTCCCAAGAGAAAACTCAAGATTATCAAGTTACCTGAATTTCTTTGGGCTAAACAGAGAGCAGTAGCAAATTATCAAAGACAGAGACCTCAGAAGAAAATCATCTTATTTTGACAAAATTATGTGAAGAATTATGGACTTTGTCTCTGCATATACCACAAGTTTGGGGGTCACTTCAGAAAACTTTCAAAAAGTATTATCATTAATTCTTTCACTTAAATTCAAAGTTATTTAACACTTAGTGTGCATCAAAGAAGGGGTGGGAAAAGGGGAAGGGAAGGGATAACTCACTGTATTGAGAATAGGATAGGGAACATGTCCAACCCTGCCAGCCTACTTTATATAGCACAGCTCTGGATATTCATTACAGTCCCAAAAAGGCATAGAAATTAAACCAAGCTACCTCCAAGGAATAATTAGAAGTGAAAATCGATAAGGAGAAAATGGCTCATATTCTCCTCATTGATTTCCTGTGCACAGTGAGTCAAACTTGACTGTTGGTTAGAAGTTGGTTTGGCTATTTCTTATTACTTTTGCAGCAGTTGGGTTCTCCTGTCAGTGCCTTTCACGCTGGAGTCTTTCGTTGCTCTAATCACAGCTGTCAGCTATCGAACAAGTTTGACACTCTGACTCCAGAAATAAGGGGATTCACACTCCATGCATATGCAGTTGGTTCCTTCATTAAAGCTGATTGACATAAAAGAAATGGTGCACTGCCACTGATTTTATAAGCAAAACAAATGGCTACACAATCAAGTAGGGTTCTCCTTGATCAGAAACACCCAGAGAGCCCCGAAGTCAGTCATCCCACAGTCAACGGCCAGGGTCACTGTGAATATCTGTACATTTAGTACTTATAAAGGTAGATATAGGCAATGAGTCAAGAGCCAGATATGTATACAAACACACACACATACACACACACCACATTTCTCCACAAGCTTAGCTATCCATTCCAAATCATCTTCGTTGGCCTTCTGGGTGTTGAGTGACAAAGAACAGTTAGCTATTGCGATCTGGATTTCTTGAGAAGCATGAGTTTCTTGGAGGAAAAAAAGGAAGATAAGAGTGATCAGAATCTCCTCAGAGGATTTCTGTACATAATTTAATGTCATAAAATGAAAGACTATGAGTTCAAATGGATTATCTAATCCAATATTACCAACAAGTTCAATATTGCTTTAGAGCATCTCTGTCAAGGGCCCATTCAGATTCTAGTTGGCATTTCTAGCAATAAGGATGCCCTGTTTGGTGTGAGACTGCTTTCAGGAAATGGGAGCCCAAACTGAATCAGTACTATAGTCATCATAGCATGGTCCCTGTGGGGATGCACTCCCAACCTATAACTTGTATGTATAATCAGAGTTTGCCTTCCTCAAACCCCAGGACTTCATGACTCCAGGTACAAAATTTTCCTGCCACACTTCATTCAAGTTGGTCTCTGCCTCCCAAGCTACTGAAAAAGATGTTATCAATGCCCTTCAAGATGTCAAGTGACTTCTGACTATCCCTAATTGATCTTTAACTTATTTCCTCCATCAGTTTCTTAATACCCAGTGGAATGCTCTCTTCTGTGGCGATTTATAGAACATCCCTCACTACGACCTGCAATTTTTCAATGACTCAGAACTGTTGACAATTAATGACCATGAAAGAAAGATCCTAATGGAGTCAACAAAAATACTGGTAAGTTGCAATTCTTCAAATGAATGAAGAGCAGGGATACAACTAGATGAGAACATAAGATGTAAGATGGCGCTTACCCTGCTGTTTTGGGGGTGGGAGGTAAACATATATAGTATTGCACTACTCCATGCTGATATATTTCTTCTTTAATAAAAAAATTTTTTTTAACTATCTGTGTCATGGGAACAAACTTTATCAGCGCTGCACAAGGAAGCACGCCAAGTGTCAATGAGTCTACTACCAAGTATCCAAAGGAAGTCAAACCCAGCGTCAGAGATACCCTCCCCTGTGTATGCCCCGGAGCAGGTATCCCACTTGGGGTATTGCTTCCTTTGTTGTATTTTGTCTGTCTCCCGAGCTAGACGATACCCTGGGCCCTGCAAAGAGCCTGGCACGTGGTAGGTGGTCTTGAGTAAGTGGCTGTTACATTAATGCGTACCTAAAGGAATGAATGAACGGATGGATGGATGAACGAATGACCCGGAGCCTGGCCTTTGCCCCGCACCGATCCTTGGCCTCCTTGCCCCGCGGGCATAGGTGAAACTCAGGTGAGCACAGGGGACCAAAAACAACAAACCCCGCCTACGGCGGCCGGGAGGACCAAGCCAGTTCTGGGCGGAAAAGCGCTCTTCGGCAGCTGCCCGACCCTTGCGCACGCAGGCGCGGGGCACCAACGCTTCCGGGAGGTCACTTCCTCCCCCGTCTCTTAGCAACGGCTGGAAGCGTTGTTGACATCCCAGGCTGCAGTAGCGCGGGACTGAACCCAGAGTTTCGTGGCCAGCGCGATGGTAAATCTGGGGTCTCCGTCCACTACCCACCGCTCCAAGGGCGCCGACCCACGTGGGCTTTCTCTACCCTCCTCTCGAAGTCGATCCAGGCCGGGCCAGGGCCACGGCGAAGGCTGGAGGCTCCATAAGCTTCTTGGAAGGGTGACTGGAAGACCCTAGAGACGAGAGGAGGACCCTGAAGGCGGGGAAGAAGATGTCTAGATGAGGAACCTATCTTGGGGCATAGATATCTATGGGGGTGATTTCTGGAGGTGGTACTTGGTGAGAGGAGATATCAAGACAGAGAAGACAGATATTGAGGAGATGAAAGATCCTGTGAGGGATGAGAGAGCTCTATCTAGAACGAGGAAAGTGTGAAAAGGGGAGGAGCGAGACAGAAAGAAAAATCACCCTGAAAGGGAAGAAAGAGATAGGACAGGGAGCGCAAGGCAATGGAGAAAGGGGAGAAAGAGAAGATATTGCGAGAAAAGAAAACCAAATAAAGAGAAAGAAGAAAAGAGGAAAGGGGGGAGAGAGAACAGGAGTAAAGGAAGGGAAATGGAGACGGGGAAAGTGTGAAGAAGACTAAGGTGAAAGCGAGGAATTTTAAGAGGAATGAAAAGGGGATGGGGATCAAGAGATTGTAGCAGGAGGGTTCAGAAATCACAAGAGGAGAAAACAACTGGGAAAAGAGAAGGAAAGGCTGGGAAGAGCAGAGGGAGGAGTTTGGGAGAGATGTAAAAGAGAAAAGGGTAAAGGAGGACAGTGATTGTAAGGAGCTGTGGACGTTGTCTTGGAGATGGGGAAAAAGTGATAAAGTAGCACCACCCCCCACAGCATTAAGTGCAGTGTTTCCCAAAGTGAGATGCAAATATGAGTTGCTACTTGAGATGGCTCAGAAATACCAAATAAGAGAGTAAATCACATTTGAGAAAGCTGTTCCTCTTTCATTTTCTTTTCAACCTTTCGACCATATCCAGGTGAAAGTTTCTGGCAATATTAGGTCGTTACACCACTAGCATTTCAAAATTTCAGTTTTTCACTAAAGAACAGACCTCAGGCTCAGAGATTTATTTAGCGTATAATGTAATATATTCCCCCCTTTTTTCTTGGTTCTTTGTTTATGACTAATAATATCAGATTTCCATTTCTGGTAGTGGTGTATAGTTTGCTTTGAAAGTGCAGTCATTTAAGCTTTTAGAAGTGAGATGATTTAAAGAACATGCTAGCTGAATAATATAGGTGATTTTCCTAATGCCAAAAATTGTGAATCTAGCACATAAATGCCTAGAATTCAGAAAACACCTGTATAGTCATAACAAGGGAAGAAGTAAGTTTTCTCGTCCACATTACATGCAAAAGAAAACTGTCTTGCCTAAGTAACATAATGTTCATCTGTATGATGTTGAGAAGGAAAAAAAATATCACAAACCCTTTTAAGACAGTGAAGAATAATGTTTGAATTCAGAATACCCAGTGATCACTCAGTTATGAACAATATGCAGGTTTGGAACAAACTTCTTGAGTTTAGCATTTGTACGAGGAAAGAAAACCACTACAATATAGTTTATTCATAAAATTCGTTAAGAAAGCTGCTTTTAAAACCCAATAATGGGGTTCTAACATATTCATGGTTGAACATTCAGTTTGCACTGAGAACAAGGCCATATTAACCAAAAGATCCTTGGAATCTCAGAATATGTTTTTAATATGTTTTAGAATATCCTGAATGTAATCACCTAAACTCCCAAGCAGGTAACATTTTGAACTGAAAATAAGATTTCTCATTAACAGATACTTTTTGACAGAAAGTGGCAATGATATAGCTCTATAAATATTAAAATACTATAATGTAGAAGGGGAATTTTTCATACAAAAAGAGAAAGATCAATGAGTGGAAGATAGTCAGGAGAGGAATTCTGTCCAATGTAAAGAATACTTTGCCAGTAAATAGAGACAGATGAAAATGGAGTGAGCTCTCGTGAGGCAATAAGCTTTCTAATTGTAGAAGAGTTTAAGCCAGGAGGTCTGTCACGGCTGTCAGTCAGGGGTCCTGCTGTGTTGGCTTGGATACGGGACTTGACGATTTCAAAGCTCTCTTCCAAAAGTCTGAGATTATAGCATCCAGTACCTTAGATTAAAGGGAAAGGGGAGTAGGGATCTTCCCAAATATTATTCTCTTTAGGATGGAGGTAACCGCAAAAACCCCTCAGGTTCATTGTCATTCTGGTCTCTAATAGGCAGAGGTGGAGGAAACCCTAAAGAGGATACAGAACCATAAAGGGGTCATCGGAACGATGGTTGTAAATGCAGAAGGTAAGTACATCGCAGGCTGCCTTCTTGACCTCTGCGGAGGCCCCGAGCTGCCCTTTGTTGTTGTGCCACACCCCACAACCAGCCTCTTAGAGCTTGTAATCAAAAGCAGAGTTCGTATATTTCAGCTACAACTTTTACTTGTCAAACATCTATTGGGTATTACATGTCCAGCACTCTGCTAAGAACTAGGGATATAAATATAAATAAGCTGTGTCTTAAAATGTCTACATATTGCTAAGAAACACTATACATTGTCTCATTTTGAAAGCTTTGATAACTATTTTCTATCCTTTCAGGAATAACAATAAGACTTTTATATTGAAGATAGAATATTATTGCTGGCAGTATGTTTTTGTTTTAACATTATTCCGCGTTTCATTCTTCATTTTAAATGAAATTGTTCCTTTGCCATATTTAATGAAATCTTTGAAAATTAATTGTAATTTATATGATAGTCTTTGTGGTTATAGTATAGAAAGGACTGATGTATTTCCACCTATGAAATCCGTAGACTTGTTCCAGAAACTTGCTCCCACTCCACAGTCCCTGTTAATCCACAGAGCATTTCTCTGGCACATTGCTTGCCACATGCTCAGCTATGGTGGCAATCTCTTAAGGGCTCTTGCTCAGTTGCCCCTTGTGGCACTTCTTGCCCTTACTAATTTGGGCATTTGTAAGGGCAAGAGGTGCCGCAAATCCCAGAGTATTAGTCGAAACAAGAGCAGTTACTTCATATAATTCATGTGGAACAATGGGGTTGGCACATTGCCCACTCAGTGCTTGGCAGCAAAATCTCGCAGCTAATCATTATTTTGGAGCAAATCCATCAATGTTTAGTGATGGCTTTAAAACTTAAACAATTTAAAGTCTGTTTAAACTCTGACCTTCAATCCTTTATTATTAAAAGTGGAAAATAACCTCCTTTGTTGATGGTTGTGATAAGTGAAATAATAATTGTCAGGTGCTTGGCACAATACCCAACACTTAATAGAATTATAAATACATAATTCTGAGAACGTGGGCATTTTTCATTGATATGTACAATTAAAACATCTGATGTGTTTTACAAAATGAAATTAAACATTTCAGCATCAAATGAATATAATAAGTGCACCCAGCTCGGGTGGTCAGGAGGGAGTGGACTTAAGATGAGCCCTGTAGGTAAGTCAAGATCTGTGTCTACTATTTCCAGGAAGCAGTCCAGCCCTAGTGCACAGTTCTGGCAGAACTGATTTTAGGTCCATGCATTTACTGCATACCCTCTGCCACACCCCCTAAGATGGGTTGTCTCTGTCACTTCACAGAAGTGCTATATTCTTTTCCTTTGGCTGCCATACGTAGTTATTATCTCTCAGCTCTGGAGGCTAGAAGTTGAAATCAAGGTGTGAGCAGGGCTAAGCTCTCTTCGAAGGCTCTACGAGACAGCCTTCCTTGCTGTCTTCCAGCTCCGGGTGGTTTCCAGCAATCCCTGGCATTCCTTGGCTCATAGATGCATCCCTCCAAGCTCGGCCCCCATTGTCAACTCCAAGTCTCTACTTTCTCTTCTTAATGACATCGGTCATGGGAGTAGGTCCACCCTAATCCAGTGTGACCTGATCTTAACTAGTTATATCTACAAAGACCCTATTTCCAAATAAGGTCACAGTCTGAGATTTAGAGTAGACCTGAATGGGGGGCGGCCACTGTTCAGCCCAGTACAGGTGCATTCACCTGTGACATCCAGGATGACTCATCTAATGTATTATTTTGGAAGATCTTAAAGTACATAATCCTAGCAATATGCACAAAATGTCTGAAAAAAATCTACACTCTAATCTGTAATGTCAATCCTAGGAATTTACCCTAAGAAGTAGAGAAGGAAACATGTGGGTATGAGTGATACTTGCAGAGGCATCATGTAGAGCAGCAATAAATAACCAGACAAATAAGTCAATAAATCTGTCCCAACAGTAGGGGAAATTTTAAATTAATTATGCAATATTTACTTGATGAACTATTGATCTATTTAAAGTGTTGAAGAATATGCAGAGTCATGGAAAACTACTCACAATATTAGATGAAAAAAATCAAGGAACATAGCAGTATCCAGCATTTTCTAATAAAAAAAGATAGCCATGCACACATGTACACTTTAAATAAATATGGAAGAAAGGGCAGAGATATGTTGTGGTAATTATCTCTGAGGGGTGGGATTAAAAGTGATTTTTACGTTCTTTTCCTGGGGATTCTTAGCACTGTTCTCATCCAAAAGCAACAAAATAGTATTTTTAAGACCTATTAACTTCTAATTAACCTCTGTAGGAATTGGGTTGTATTAGGATTCAGTGCACTTTTCTGAAATCCAAATTAATCTTTCTCCCAAAAATATAAATGAGGAGCTTATTTTTATGGTCAGATTATTAATAACCAGAGTGTATGACAAGGATGTTTATTAATAGCATGTGGTATAAGTTGTGTGACCAGAATGTAATAAAATACTCCATTTCAACAGCCTGTTCAACTTTAGATGAAAGTGCCACTTATAGTAGTGTGGCTTTGTAGCTTTCAGAAGTCCCAGGAAATTTGATACTGAAAATATTTAACTGAGATGGTGTCTATATGTTCTTGTTCTCTGCTCGTAGTGTTATTCCACTGATTCCAGGCAAATCATTTTAGCATATTTTCAAGTTTTAAATGTGATTGTATATGAGCCTTCTACCATGTTCATACACTGAGACCTCCTCATATACCATGTTAAGTAGGGATTTTTGGTTCCACTGTTACTGAAACATAGACTTTTTATTCATGACAATTAAGTAGACTTATCAATTTAGCCCAATGTTGAATGGTATACACTTTTATTAGAGAAGATTTTTGTTAACATTGGTTTCCCACTTAGGAAACCTTTCACTGTTTACAACATTACAGCACTGAACGTTGATGTAGATGCTGATGAATATATTGCGTGCGTGTCTGTTTCCCAGGCAGTCACATCTGTCGTATATTCTTAGGTATACAAGCCTGATTTCTGTAGGCTCTTAATTGTAAATACTCTTGACATTACCAACAATCTATTCTTTGAATTTCATTAGGTTTTATCAGCCATCTAGCTAACTCCCTTTATTTTTGAAATACAATCTATCGACCAAAGTACAAATGTTCAGTGGAAAAGTACCAGCTCACTGGGATAATAGTCATTTTAAAGTAGTGCCATAAATTCAGCAACATCAGATTCATACTCTCTGTTCCAGACATTTCATTTCAGGGATTTATACTACACATATATGCAAACGTGAAATGGCATGTCCAAAGACATACTCTGTAGCCTTGCATATAAAAGCCAAAGATTGGGGACAGCCTCCGTGCTCGTCAGGAGAATATATTAGTCATGTGTATTACAGAGCACCCATTTGACAGTCATGTTACGTGATCTTTGTGAATGACCTAGCCTTACGTGTATTGAATGGAACCATTTCCAAAGTGCATTAAATGAAAATAATTTAGGTGCAGAATAGAGAATGATACAACTAAAGACTTCAAACACAGACATCCTTGAATAGACTTACAATGCTTCTGGAAGGATACCAAAGACACGGGGAGCAGTGGTTACCCCTCAGAAGAGGAAGTGGGTGAATTTTACACCATGTGCTAAGATTACTTGTTAATAAATTATTTTGTAATTACCTTGCATGGTACCCAGCAAGAGCTCCACAAATATTTGTTGATTTGTTCAAGTGTCTATAGGGGGTATAAAAAGCTCCAAGACTTTCCATGGTGTGCACTTACTGTGCAGAAAGGCTGGCTGATTTATTTATTGACGTGGATCATGGATAGACAACTAAATAGGCCTGAGCATCTGATTCATAATCTTGTCATCTACATTTTAAATAATTTATTCAGGTTGTATTTCTTGTTTTGACACTGAGCAATGCAGACTTTGTATGTAGTCACTATTCAGGATGCAAAATAGAACTATTCGTCAAAAAGTGCTCTTACAAGGTTGAGTGCTTGCTACGTTTCACCCTCCTGCTGCTTGTTAAAGACACATGCCTTTTGATGTTTCATCAGGTGTGAAAGACAAAACCGACTTCTGGGGGAACGCAGCCAAGAAATAATAATGTGAAAATTAACAAGTTTATATAAACTGTATTTATTGAGTAGGTTTTCCTGTAAATGTTGTCCTTGTATTGTTTGGCGGGACCTATTCTAGAGACAATAATTTTCGTAAAAGAGAAAGCAACTAATCTGTTTCCAAGTCAGAATTGAGGCTCTCAAAGAGTTTCATGAAAAATGGTAACAGCCCAAGTTTGTAACGCTAGTCCACTTTTAAAGTGCTCATCTCGCTTAACAGTTTCTGCCATTACCTTCGCTGAGGGAGAGCCAAGAGCCACGTTAGCCTCTTTTATTGATTGGCTGCAATTCAGGTACCTGAAGAATCTGACAGCGATCCCCAGTTCACCTTCATGTGCCACCCTAAATTAAAGACACATTTGCAAATCAAATCCCTGGAACTCTCTGGCTATGTGGAAATTCTTAAAATAATGTGAAGGCTGTTTCTGATTAGATGCAATATATGCAAAATACCTAGCATGCACCTGTTAATAAGCGCTGAGCGCTGAGTGACCCGAATTAAGCTGGATTGATTTGAACTGAATTGAATTATACTTGCCTATTTGCCTGTCTAGATTCTTCCAGTTCAATTAATAGGCTCTGTTTTAAATGTGTATCATGGAGCAATAGAGCACACAAGTAGCCACATTTAATAACGCTTAAACCAAGAATGAGTGCAAACCAGGAGATGCCTATCAAGACCACAGTGTTTTTGTTGCTGTGTTTTCTAACATAAAATTTAAGGTTTGCTGACTACTGCATGTTACAAAGAAATTTTGAAAATCCCTTTTGATATGCTGTCTAGCATGTGTGCAGTTATATTGCTGCCTAATTCTCACCTCGGGGGAGAAAGTGAGCACAGACCAAGCATTGCAAAGCAGACTCACTGTAGACAGGACACTCGAGGAAATGCATTCGTGTGTAGTAACATGTTCAGCTAGTACTGTGACAATCAGTCAACAACTCCCAAAAGATTGGCGTAGAAGAATGTTTGTCACACCATTAGTGACAAAAACAAAAACACGATACCTAACAATCCACCAATTAGGATTGATTACAGTAGATCCATAAAGTTGTAAGTATACAGCCATTTGAAATAATATTGATGGCACTGTCACCAACAAGGGCTTGTATGCTGTCACTTAAATGTAAAAAGCAAGCATCAAATTTGTAATTATACTTTGACCCAAGTATTTTAAAAAATCCATGTAGAGACAAGACGATTGGAAAATAAACTACAATTGTCACTAGTGGGTAATACCAGCCTCCACTCTTTCTTTCTCCTCACAATTGTAAGTATTTTCCATATTTCTACAATGCACATATTACTTTTATAATCAGAAAAGGAAAGTTTAACCCCACATTAAACCGCGCGGCAGGCATCCCGATCCGAACCACCTTGGACAACTCGACAACCGTGCAGTACGCAGGCCTGCTCCACCAGCTGACCATGAAAGCCAAGAGCACCGTACGCGACATCGACCCCCAAAACGACCTCACCTTCCTGAGGATCCGGTCGAAGAAGCATGAAATCATGGTCGCCCCAGGTAATTGGCATTTCACTTCATGCGCAAAGCATCTTCCCACTTTATCATACAGAAGCTTTGTTTCAAAGAACAAGAAGTATAGGTTTAACTTTATTTTTATTGTTGACACTATTACAGATAGATTTTAATATGTGATATGGCACATAATGTTCTTCACTGTCTCCTTTGAAGACAATGTTTGAGGCTGAAAATTGCAACTTCAAAATGTTGTGATATTACTGAATTTGACCTTTGAAGAAGCTGAATTTTTCCCACTTGCATTTATTATCAGTAATCAAAAACTTAGGAGATGTAGGTCTCATGTTGGGTGAACTTAGCACCCAGATTTTCTGAAGAGTGGGAGAAATGTCTCCTGTCCAGGGGACAAGCCCGGGAGTGGCTCAGGGGCCTGTGGAGTCTGCTGTCCCCTGTGGGAGCTCACGGCCACCTGCCTGCTGAGAGAGCGCAGCCCCCCAAGCACTTCTTCCCGTGAAGGACTTGCTTTTGCGGTTGGTAGACGTCAGTGTAAAACAGGACTCATGCTTCTAAATCTAGTCTAGAATAAACTCTGTAGTCGTCCATCTGCAAAATGAGAATTACCCATAAACTAAATACAGCTTTCTCTACACCTGTGTTCTCACCGTGGCTGCACATTGAGATCACCTGGAGAGCGTTACAGAAATAATGATTGGCACCTGGACTCCACCCCACCCCAATGAAATTAGAGTCTCTGGGGCTGGGCCCCAGCTAATGGTGCATTGTAAGAGCTTGGCAGATGATTCTGACGTGGAACCAGGGTGGAAAACTATTGGTCTACACGAGGTCCAAGTGATGTTTCGAAGAGAAAAGGAGATTAGCTGAAGTATTCATTTGTTATATTTAATTTTTAGAGCAGACTAATTTTTCCCACGTCTTTCCGCAGATAAGGAATATCTCCTGATTGTCATTCAGAATCCATGTGAATAGCTCCGCTGCAACCGAGTCCACCCTGCGACGCTGGGTTGAAAACACTGTACTCCTTAATGGTGACTACGATTCTATTCCCATATAACTTTGATCCTTTGGACATTCTTTTCTATTTTTTGCATGTAAAGCATTGTACACTTCTTGTCTGTCCCCCATGAGTGTATTGTAAAGTTCTGATTTAGCTATATAATACATAAATTCTGGTGCGTATGCCTCTTTTCTTACAATACACAAAGTGAAGGAGTCTAATGTGCAGACAGCCTTCCCTAGCGGTAGCTCTTCCATGGAAGTTAACTGTCACTGACAGTCCGTGTGGAGGTAGGACTGCACCCGACTGTGAACATGCCAAGGAGACTCAGGGGGGCACTGCGGGAGCTAGCAGGGAAGTCCCAGCCCTCCAGGAGTGTCAGGTGCTTTCCCAGGTTCGGTACAGAGGGAGAGAGATCAGAGGGCTGTTAGCCGGGTCAGCCCCGCAGCTGAGCACCGCCTCCTCCTCTTGCAGCACTCTGCAGAACTGCCCTTCTGTGGCACTGGCCTGAGGGGACCGGAGCCAGTCCTGGGCAAGGGTGCATGCTTCAAAGGCTGATGAGATAACTCCAGAGGGTTGTGTTTTTACTAAATATTTCAGACCTTCAGAAAACAGTGAAAATCATGCAATGTAACAGATTTCCAAGACCCACATGGAACAGGTATTTCTATTTTGCCATATTCACCTTATATCCTCTTTTTTAAATTAAGCTTTTTTTTATTTTGAGATAAAACTGAGGATTCACCTCAAATTGTAAGAAATAATATAGACATCCTTTGAACCCTTTGCCCAGGTTCCCACTATGGCAACATCTTTCAAAATTATTGCACAATATCGCAAGGAGGAAATTGACACTGATTCAGTCTAGATACAGAACACTGCCGTCCCCAGCAGGGCCCCTCCTGGTGCCCTTTACTAGCAATCCACCAGCCTCTGACCCCTGGCAACCACTAATCTGTCCTGTTTCTGTAATTCTGGCATATCAGGAAGATTATATAAATGGAATAATGCAGTACATAGCCTCTTGGAATTGACTTTTTCAGTTCAGCATAATTCCTTTGAGATTCATTCAAAAAAGAAATGAGATAGCACAGATAGAGCCACAGCCTGCTCCTGCTCTGTGTGCCTCTGTCCTCTCCTTCCCCGGAGGACTCTAACTAGAAGGAAGCCGTCAGTCTGCACAGGGGTCCTCGGGAGCCCACACCTGAGCTCCCGAAATGCCTCCACAACAAGCTAAGTGTGAGGAATGGTGTACAGTAGGTTTACTGGTTCAACCAAAGCCATGGCCCCAGCTTGCATCCTGGGAGGCAGCCGGGGCCAACCCAAGTAGATGGTGATCTGAGCAGAAAGGAAGGGCTGAGGCAAACCTCTCAGGTTAAAGGGGCTGACTCTCCCTCCAAGTGGTGACGAGAGAGGAGACAGATCACAGATGGAACTCCCAAGGCTTAGAGAGACAGAGGAGGCTGCAGCCACACAGCCACAGATGTCTGTGCCGCACTGCAGAGCCAGTACTCCTGGGGGTGGGGCCCACACATGCATATTGGAGTATTCTCTCCAGGTAACTGCAATAACCTCCAGGCTGAGACCAACTCAATGGTAATCAAGAACAAAGGTTTGGGAGTCATGTGTCCTGGGTCCTTCTTATTCTGGCTCTGCCATTTGTAAGCAAGGTTTGTTGTGTAGAATCAGCTGAGCTGGTGCAGCTGAAGTGCCTGACACAGAATGAATGCTCAACAAGCGTTAGCTTCTGCTGCTGCTTCCAGTGTTACTCAGAGTGGCCCATGACATACAAATGTGAGTTCCGGGAACAGCCCTGAGGTTCCCCATATCATCAAAGCCAGCTGAGCCCTAGGTTTACAGAGATAACAGGACAAATGGGGAAATGAGCTTAAGTTACAACAGGAGTCGGTTCTTCTTAACTTGTGGGGTGAATAAACATGAAAGAAAGATTATAGGAATGGAGAACCTATACTACTGCACATATCTGACTTTCGAACAATTTTCTGACACTTCTGACTTCAAAAACTTCAGACTTGTAAAAGAGTAGAAGGAATGGCACAATTTTAAACACCCATATACACTTCACCCACATTCACCAACTTTTAATATTTTACATTTGCTTCATCTCTGTCTGTGTGTATGTATATATACGTAATAATGACCCCAGTTTCATTCTTAAGAAATTTAACATTGATACAATATCACCTAACAGACAATCATATCCAAATTCCCCCATTAGTCCCAGTATGTTTCTTACATGTTTTTTAAATCCAGGATCCTTTCATGGGTCACATGTTGCATTTGGTTGTCATGTCTCTAGTTTTTAGCTGTTTTTAGAACCTCTTTTTCTCTCTTCTTTATCTCCAGGTGGTGTCAAATTTGTATTTGCTCTCCCTAGAGTCCCCAGTGCCACCTGCTCCCTGTCCCCCTTGGGCCCCTCCTGGTGAGCAGAGACAGCCTGTAAATAGAGGAAATTCAGCCCACCAGAAGGTCTTAGTCACAGGTGAATGCTTCCCTTCCTTCTACACTGTGACTGAGACCAGACACATCACCCTGGACCCAACCTCATCCTTCAGCCCAGGGAGGACTGGGTACCACGATACCCACTCCTCCAGGGACAGCTGTAGCATCTGCTGACAGTTTCCGACACAACAAGATCTTGTTAGAATCCAAACAGCAAAGAAGTGCATTATTGAGGGAGAAGACCACAGAGATCATCTATCTGACCACTTGGTTTTATTTTTATTTTTATTGTTTTATTAATGTTTGAACACAGTTGCTTCCATGTTCCACCACCATTTTCCCCCGCCCCACCCACCCCCACTTCTCACCCTCAATCCTTACCCTCCTTTTGGTTTTACAGGTGGAAGTTCCATCTGAGCCAATAGTCAGGTGTCTCTCAGTAATCAGGAGTGTTTGTATCGAACTAGTTATGCCTATGAATTGATGCTTATCAGAGGGTTCATGCTTATTTGAGATAACCCCCATACCCTTAAAAATTGTTTTTAGGAGGTACATATTAGCTCATTGTTATAAAAGTACCAGAGGTAGCATTTGATTCCAATACCTAAATCTGTCCTCTCCCCACAGCTCCCCAGCCCACCCAGAGCTCATTGGCAGATGCATGGCTGGGTGGTAAAGCCACTTCCTTCCTCTTGGCCCAGCCAGAATTTCAAGCCCCATTTAAGATGTAACAGTGGGAAATCTCTGGCAGGTGCAGAGGACAACGCTGCAAGTGCCAGGACTCTGTGTGGGTTCTTCTGGGGAAATACAACCCTTCCTTCCCACTGGGCAGTAAATTCTGCCATGGTCCTGCCTGCACTTTTGCATCCAGAGGAAACTGTAACCCTTTGTTAGAGACGGAGAAGGTGGCGGCAAAAAGCAGCAGTTGCCAAAGTCAGTTACATTGGAGGATGATAAGACCTTTGGGAATTTGTCCCACCCCTCTCTGCCTTCCAGCACACAGACATTCATATTCCCTCTTGGATTCATAACAACATAGCTCATTAGCTCTATTTAAAAGATGCCTGGACCTAAAGATTCACACCCATAGAAAACCATTGGTAAAGCTCTCATTTCCTAGGAGAAGTACAAGGCTGGGCTCACTGGTGCCTCCCCTTAGTCCAACTTGGTAGAATTTTATCTGAATAATAAGAGAGCTATTTGCAGAATCTCTAGAGGGACATACCCCAACCATAAATATTCATGAAAACGAACCTGAAAAGACCAGCTTAATAAAACCGCTAAAATGTGTCTGTGGGTTACTATCATCGTGACCCCCCAAATCTTCACCACCAAAGGGGAGCACCCAGTAGCAGGGAGGCAAGAGCCTGCCCCGAGCTCCTGTGGGTGTTCGCCCCCTACAGGCCCTTCTCCTCAGCACAATCTCACTTTGAGTAGAGCACACACCTTCTTCCAAAGAAACAATCACCATAGGCTTAGACTTGGATTTTCCCCCTTCCTGGTCCTTGACAAATTACAATTAACCCCCAAACATCTTTGACATGGGGTGAAACATCCTTACTTCTCTGATATTACAGAATAATGTGATGCCCTTGAATAGAAAACTAGAGCATGTTTTGAGGAATTAGCAATAGTCATCCAATCAACCAAAACTTGGTCTTATATTCTGTTTTTTTTTTAAAGTAGGTCACATTTGGAGTCACAGCGGAGCTTTCAGAGTGGTGGTAACCTCTCCAGTCAGGAGCCCTACCAAAGAATAATTGCTCTCTCAACTCCTGGGAGTTATGGGGCTAGAGCTCCGTTAACATGAAATCACCTCTAATAATGAAAACTGGAAACTCAGGTTCCCCTGGGGCACATTGGAATATTTCTATTTAATACATGCAATATTTAAGGCTAGTAAAACTTTTCTATATATTTCTTATGCAAGCTTTGACATAGAGGGTTGGGTTAGCCAGGTACTCAGCCATTCCTTGAACACAGAGGAGACTGATTTTTCTGACTCCCTCCTGGGCTCTTACTCTGGGAAACCTCCATTCCTTATTTCCCTTCACCAGACATGACCTCACGACTCCCTCTCTAGGTATCATTTACCTTGAATGGTCCCATTGCATGTTTTTAAATTGTCCTTCTTTGGTCAACTTGACAATGTGAGACACAATACAGTGCAGTAGAAAGAGCATGCGACCCAAGGTCTGGCTCAGCTACTTAATTACCAGCAGGGTGCACAACTTCTTTGGACCTCAGTTCACTTCCCTACAAATGTGAAGAATGCTCACCCACAGTGGCCTTGCATTCTGAAGTACACAACACAGAATAGATGCCAATGATCATTAATAATGGCGATGGCAGCCAAATAAAACAAATTTACCAGAATCCAAGGCATTAGATACATCTCACCATGGCCTCTTCTAACTTAACCATGTGCATAAATATACTGAAGGACTTGTAATCCTGCTGGGTACACAATTTTGTCTAATTCCTTCACTTATCATTGAATAAGTACTTCCACAGTCCTACCTAGGGTTTATATTGGTTTTTCTTAAAATCTGTATGTACTTCCATCAGATTTGTTGGTAGTGACCTGACCCAGATGAGGCCAATGAGAGATGCGTCCTTGGTATTTAGAGTTGGAAGAGAGTCAGAGAGCAAGTCCCCACATGGCTGGGCTTACACACAAAAGCATGGCTACTGGGGATGAGTATTTTCCACAGG